TAGAGATAAGGAGTCGTTAAGAAGTAACAGAGTCTTGTATGGAGCCAATGAAAACCAAAAGAAGATAAACCTGGTAAATTTCTATCTATTTATTTGCTTATTTGTTTCCTCCAATAGGATGTAAGCTTCATAACACACTGTCCTTTTAAGAACTGTATAGAGCGCATATGATACACAGAGACTTATCTGTGATGGGTATTTCATGGTTTGAGGAAGTATGTTGAATCTTTAGGCAAATCACCTAGTGTGACTTCTTCCATATTTCACTTAAAAGAAAATCATGGGGTTGAATATTTTAAAAATGCAACTCCCTATGCAGAATATGATTCTGCAAATGTCAGTCTTATCACATCTCAAACCTTCAAAGCACAAGGACACACACTGCATTTATTTAAATGCCTGTGTGTATCCTTCAAAAGGATGATTGGCTGGGCATGATGGCCCATGCCTATAATCCCAGCACTTTGATAGGCCAAGATGAGAGGATTGCCTGAGCCCACAGGTTCAAGATCAGCCTGGGAAACTTGGTGAGACCTCATCTCTACAGTAAATCAAAAAAATTAGCCAGGCATGGTGGCATGTGCCTGTGGTTCCAGCTACTTGGAAGGCTGAGGAGGAAAGATGGCCTGAGTCCAGCAGCTTGAGGCTGCGGTGGCCGTGAATGTGTCACTGCCCTCCAGCCTGGGCAACAGAGTGAGACTACAACAACAACAACAAAAATGATCATATCCCCCCCTAACTTTCAAACGAAGTTGGTTTATGCAGTTCAAAAAAAATGTACCTTGGAATTCAGTCTTTTTTTTTTTTCCAAAGGAAAATCTTAACAACATAGCTTATCCATTTCATATTAGCAAATTGTCTCTAGACTCAACTCGGTCACTTGTAATATAGCAGTTCTGTCCTGGTATTCAGTTCTGCCACATTCTTCTGGGCACCACAAATCATCGGTACCACAGCCTAATGTGTACTTTAATTTGGGGGCTTTAACGAGCATGCTGCCTCTTCACCAGTGCTAACAGCCTAAATAATTAATGCTTCTAAGCACCCAGGGCTCTGAATCTTACAGCTAAAACATGTGACTTAGTTTCACATGATTTACTTACTTAAAAAAAAAAAAGGAAAATCCTGAAGTAAGAAATAACAACAGACGAACTAAAGCTCAGTTGTTTTCAGAATTTATAGACTTTGCTAAGGCATATAATATTTTTTCATGTACTGTGCTATCATTTACAGTCCCAACAGTCCATTAGCTACATTCAGATCTCATGTGGAGAAAGAGAATCTTACACAAAGATTGCCCTAAATCATGGAGGTATTGTAAAGTCAGGAAAACGACCTCAAACATTTCTTCTTCCTTCTCAAAAGAACTGAAACCTGGTTTTTCTACAAGAGGAGGATATGACACTACCCACTGCTCCAGGTGCTTGAACTTCATCAGATTTTCTTCAACCATCCTGTCTCTTTCCTCAGAAATGCTCCCCTCCTCAGAGCTCTCATCCATTTTCCTCAACATCTTTCCCATTCTTGTTTATCACCACCACCACCACCACCATCATCCTGCTGGTAAGCCCAGTAATCCTGGCTACATCAACCCCGTGAACCCTACTGTTTACCCCTGAATGATCTTCACATACAGTCTTCAGCAGCCCAATGGGAGGCTACATCTTGAATGTAAGAATTGCTTGGAAGCATTTTATTTCCATGATATCTAACTTTCCTTCTTTCTGTTTCTTTTTTCTTTTTTTTTTTTTTTTTTGAGTTGGAGTCTCACTCTGTCACCCAGGCTGGAGTGCAGGGTACACTCACGGCCACCGCAGCCTCAACCTGCTGGGCTCAGGTGATCCTTCCACCTCAGCCTTCCAAATAGCTAGAACTACAGGCATATGCCATCTCTATAGGTGTGTTGCATCAAATGGAAAGTACTTGGAAAGTAATTGAAGCTTAAATGTGTAAGAATAAATACACAATTTTTAAAAATAAATAAATAAACTCTAGTTCGTTTTTTTTTTGAGTCAGAGTCTCACTGTTGCCCAGGCTGGAGTGCAGTAGCATGCTCACAGCCACTACTGGTCTCAGGTGATCCACCTCAGCCATCCAAGTAGCTGGAACCACAGGCGCACACCACCACACCTGGCTAATTTTTTTGTAGAGATGAGGTCTTCCCAAGTTGCCTAGCTGGTCTCAACCCCCTGAGCTCAGGCATCCTCTCACCTCAGCCTCCCAAAGTGCTGGGATTATAGGCATGAGCCACCGTGCCCAGCCTGATATCCAACTTTCAAATTTTCCTGACCATGATCTCCTAATCTTTCCTCATAAAACTCACTCACACCTTTGACCTTTCCTTTCTGTTCTATCAATTTTGGTTAGGCACTTTGCCTCTCTTTATTCTACCTTCGGGGAAGATCTAAAGAATGAAATGCATCCCTGAGCACACTATTGTACCAGGCAATAGAGCTTTAAGTATCAAGAAGCCACAGGTCTCTTCTATTCTTTGAGGGTCAAGTATACCCAGTTTAGGACCCAGGAAAAAGGTAGGGTAGAGCACGGGGCCGACTCATGCTGGGCCTTAAGAAAGGAGCAGTAAGGAGGATGGACCAAGTATGGGGGGGGGACCCAAAAGAACTGGAGTTGCCAAGTATGGCAGCTCACTCCTGTAATCCCAGCACTTTGGGAGGCAAGAGGATTGCCTGAGCCCATGGGTTTCAGATTAGCCTGGGCAACTTGGCGAGACTTCATCTCTACAAAAAAATTAGCCAGGTGGGGTGGTGTGCGCCTGTGGTTCCAGCTACTTGGATGGCTGAAGTGGATCACCTGAGACCAGCAGTGGCTGTGAGCATGCTACTGCACTTCAGCCTGGGCAACAGTGAGACTCTGACTCAAAAAAAACGAACTAGAGTTTATTTATTTATTTTTAAAAATTGTGTATTTATTCTTACACATTTAAACTTCAATTACTTTCCAAGTACTTTCCATTTGATGCAACACACCTATAGAGATGCTTTTTCTACTGCTCAGAACAGTTTTTGAACTCATTAATTTTGATGCTTTTCAGTGCTTCTGCCATTTTTTTTTTTGTCACCTCTTCCATATCAGCAAAACATTTCCCTTTGAGGACTTGAAGGAAAAAAAAAGTTGCCGGGGGAGAGATCGGGTGAACAGGGAGGGTGGGGCCTTTTTGGTAAAAACAAAAACAAACAAGCAAAAAACACTGAATACTCATTGCGGTGTGGGAAGGTGTGCTCATAAATCACCCATCATGAAATGGGCAAATGCGTTAAAAGACTTTCCAAAAAAACCCAAAAAACAAAACAACAACAACAAAAAATTCCCTGAAGCAGAATGCAGCCTCTCACAAAAACACTAGCTGGTACACTGATGCCCATGGGTTCCTAGAACACTTAAATAGTAGAGGAAGCCTGTACTATAAGGGGCCCACCCTCCAAAAAATAATTCTGTTTTTTGGGGTCCCCCTTTGTATGCGTGGCCTTCAAGAAGCCCTCCATTGTCTAGCCTAGTACAGCAGGAAAAACCAGTGAGCAACTGGCTAGCAGCCTCTGTCCCAGCCATTCATTACCACTGTAAAATGCCTTGCTCATTAAGACATTTTATTATCATTTATGCCTTGTCAACTCCAGCTTTCATAGAATCCAGTCCTAGGCAGAGAACACTGCTGAAGACTGACACCAGACCACATTGACCATTTCCTCAACAAATTCAACAAACTTTAATCTAAGTCCTCCTTCTTCTTGGTAATGTTTCTTCACTTTCCTTAATCCTCTCATTTTTAAGATTACCTGGTCTTTCATTTCATTGAAAAGACAGAAGTCCTTCAACTTCCCGTCTCTTGGCTGAAATCCTTTATCAGAAGGGCCTCATGCATTTACAGTGGTCCAATGGACTACAACTCATTTTCATTTCCATTGAGCTTTATTTATCATTTGACCTTTTGATCCCAACTTTCTTGAACCTACCTCTATTCCCACATCCTTCACTACCCTATCATCCAAATGGACGTCTGCCTCAAGGAACTGCATAGAAGCACCTGTGTCAGGTTTCTCATCTCACACTCTTCAGCAATCAAATCTATGGAGCTCACTCTCAAGTCTCCGCATCCTATCCTCTTATTTCAGGTGTAGACCTATATTTTAACTTCCTTCTGGGTATAACTTAGAAGACCTGCCAGTTCCTCACACATATTATGTCCACAATCAAAAGTTCCACTATGTTCTTCCAACCAAATCCTCTCCCCTCATTCCCTCTCCTCATATTCTGCCCTGGGAACTCTGTTTTCACATAAGCATCTCACAGTCATTTCCTCTTACATCTCTCAAGTGTACAACCTCACATATGGTCTTTGCAATTGCCTCCTAACTGGTATTCTCATTTATAAAAGTTCTGCTTTAAATCATATACAGCTACCAGAAAACATCTTTTTATAAATTTCTTTTTGATCATTTTCACCTGGTATATGATTTTCAGTGGCTCCCTGATACTTCCAAAAATGAGTCAAATGCCTCGCTCAATAGTCATTATACTGTGACTTCAGTCTTCCTCTGTAGCCATATTTCCCTCTCTCTCCTGCTTGGACCCTATCTTTTTACTAAACTGGACTACTGGCTGTTTCCCACCCATGGCCCAAGCTCCTTATCTCTTTATCATCACTTACACTATTCCTTCTTCAAGGTATGCTTGGTTCCTACTCCATCTTTTGGAACCCTGCACAGATATCAATTGGTTATCCATCCTTCCCTGATCTCCAAAATGAATGGGAATTTAATATCACTCTGCCTTGTTCTGAATCACTGAAACTCCTACTTCTTGAGGATTAGGATTATATCACTCATCAGTGCATTCCTTGACAATGCACTGACAATGCGTTATGACAATGCATTGTCCAGAACTGGTATTAGATAATTTAGCTGACGATCTGAACCTCTGAGCAAACATTTTATCATTCCCAGATCTTGAAATAACAAAATCTGGGAGTAGCTGACACTTACCCATGGATTCTGAAGTTTGACTGCCAACCACTCGGAGCAGCATAGGCTGACTGCTGTCGGACCTCTGTAGAGAGGTGGAAGGAGAGGACACCGTCGTACCATTCACCTTGGCCTCTGCCTGGGGCTAAGGCATCCAAAAGAAAACAGAATTATTTTTCATAGTAAACACTCAAACAAATGTATAAATATCAAAATATTATAGACACTCAGGACTCAGAAATTTTGACCTTTTCTACTTTGAACCCCAACACCCCAAAACTTATTGAATTTGGGATATTTCACTGTTAATATGGTCCATGAATATTGTCTTTGTATCTGAATTATGCTGCCTTATAAATTTGAGAAAAATCAGAGCTACTGTGGAACAAGACTAAAAATCGCTAGACTAAATAGATGAAAGACTTATGTGAGAATGGTGAGATCTCAAAAATGTAACAGAAAATTCATATCTTTTGTGAAGTGTTAAGTAACAAGACAGAACATATCTCAAAAATCCCCAAAAGCCGGAACCTTGTCCAGGTAGGGCCTGTTAACAATGCAATCTTGCTAGGATTTCAATGAATGCTTAAAAAATGATGTGTTTGGGATTAGAAAAACAACAAAAAAACAAAAACAAAGGTATACCAGAAAATATAACTAACTGCAAAGAAGAGAATTCCATTTCAAGAGATAAATGTTCACTTTTAGAGAACTAGCAGAAACTTTTTGGCATTTTTTTCTGTTTTATTTCAAGCTGGTTAAGTAAAAAACATTTGGTAGGAAACAAACTTGAACAAATATAAAAAGACACACTTGCTTTCATCATCTTCTTCTATCCCTTGATAATCTAGCACTTTGCTACCAAGAACTTAAGAACTGACACTTGGTGCACCTATAAAAAGGACTCTGAGTTCTGGTTTTTAGTTTTGTTTAAGAGGGGAAAATGCATGTTTGTAAAAATCCCATCTCTCTCCTCCTCACTTGCTCCAGCAGCTGCCTTAGCCTATGTAACTGTGACTCCAGCTGTTTATTGTGGTCTTCCAGGATTTGCATCCTGGCTTCCAGGCGCCCTTTGTGTTGACGCAGTAGCTTGGCCTCAGCAATGAGCTCAGCATCCCGGGGACTCTGGGGAGAGGTGGGCATCATTTCTGGAGGGGATGGCAGTGGGGACAGGCCTTTATGTTCATGCTGTTGCTTTAGACGATCATATTCTGCTTGCAGGTTCCTATTGGCATCAAAGAAGTAAAAAATAAAAAGAAAAAAAGAAAAAGAAAAAAAGAAAGAAAAAGAAGAAAAAGAAAGAAATTTAAATATCATCACTAAATTTCATATACCATGGTAGATAGATGCATCTGACCACCACCAAACAACAGCAAGCAAAAGAGAGGCACTAATGAATGGTTTTAATGATGATGATCTTACCAGCACTAAAAGGACACAACAAAATTTCAAGTTTTTGCCTGGTGTGTGAAGGGAACCATGCTTTTCAAGTTTTTATGTTACACTCATAGCCTCATGAGTGCTATATTCAGATAAGCAAGCAGCAAAGGATTTAATCATTTTGTAAACATTCTTTTACAATGAGATTACAATTTTTATACCTCTATCAACACTTTGGGTTTGCTTAAACAATTTGCAAATATTTCCAACAGAAATGTATGAGTATACCAATGTACCCACTATACTGCTTTGATATGTGCCATATTTTCTTCAAAACTTTTTTGAAGAAATATGACAGCTAAAGCTCAAGCTCCCCCCACGTGCTTACCTCAACACCACACCCTTCTCACCATCACCCCCAAGGAGATGATGCCATACTGAATTCCATGTTCATCATTACCATATATGATTCCACAAACATTAGGTTGAGCTTAACGCGGATGCTGACATTCATCTGTTTTTTTAACCTATAAAAATGACCATTTTAGCCGGGCTTGGTGGCTCAGCCTATAATCCCACACCTTGGGAGGCTGAGGTGAGTGGATTGCCTGAGCCCGCAGGTTCGAGACCCGCCTGGGCAACTTAGTGAGACCTCATCTCTACAGTAAATCAAAAAAATTAGCCGGGCTTGGTAGTGCGTGCCTGTAGTTCCAGCTACTTGGAAGGCTGAGGCGGAAGGATCGCAGGAGGCCAGCAGGTCGAGGCTGCAGTGGCCAGGAGCAGCCACTGCACTCCAGTATGGGCAACAGAGTGAGACTCCAACTCAAAAAACAAAAAAGGCCATTTTATGTGATTCAATCTAGTAGCATTATTTTGCATGTTCTTAAATTTTACATTTAAGAACTTTGTGTTTAAGAATGTACATACCGTTCTAAGAGTTGCTTTTTGACTTCAACACCATTCTAGGTATTTATCCATGTCGATACATGATAGTCTGCTATTACATAACTACTCTAAGTTATTATCCTGTGCTTGACTATGCCAACAACATTCTCCTTTCCATGGACATTTAGGTTGTTTCCGACTTTTCACTCTTACAAATAATGATGCAATGAATTTCCTTATAACCTGTCTCCTTGGATACCTGTTTAACAGATTCTTTACAGAATATATTTGGATTTGGAATTGTTGGGTCATAGCAGCATTTTCAACATTTATATATGTCACCAAATTGCTTGAAGTGGGTTTTACCAATTTATTCTCTCTTCAGTAGTAAGCCAGTTTTCCATTTGGCTACCTCCTCATCAAATACTTGGTGTTATCAGACATTTAAGTTTTGGTCAAACTGATGGGTACATTTTAATTTACACATCCCTGATTATTGGTGAGGTTGAACTTTATTCTTGTTAAATGGCTTTTCATGTTTCCTTTACTTATTTTCCTTCTGGGCTGTCTTTTTCTTAGGAAAGTTCTAGATACATTCTAGATGCTTATCCATTGTTAGTTATGAACATGGCAAATAATATCCCCTGACTTTATCATAGGGGTAGCTTATCTTTAACTTTGTTCGTGGCATCCTGCGTTACAAAAATGTTAAATTTCAACATATTGTTCCATATTTACTTCTTTTTATGTTTTGTTTAAGAAAATCTTCCCTTACACTTACATTTTAAAATTTAAAATTATGTTTTTTGCATTTAGGACATTAATTTACCCAGAATCTATTTTTGGGCTTGCTGCAAACACATGATCTAATTTTACTTTCCCCCATAGGTAAAGTATTATATTAAGCCAGAGCCCCATTCATTGCATAGTCTCTCTGTTCCCCAGTGATTTCTAATGATGCCTCGGCAAAACATTAAGTGTCCATAAATGCACAGTTGTGCTTCTGAGCTCTCTATTCTCTTCTGTTGGTTTACTTGTATACCCTGTGTAGATCCACACTACGGCTTTAAATTAACTGGGGTTTGGTAGGCCCTCTAAGCCCTACTTTGTTCTTCCTCAAAATTATCCTGGCTATTCTTTTCTGTCACCCAGGCTGGAGTGCAATGGCATGATTATGACTCACTGCAGCCTCAATCTTCTGGGCTCAGGCAATCCCTCCACCTCATTCTCCGGAGTAGCTTGGATTACAAGCATATACCACCATGCCCGTCTTAATTTTAAAATATTTTTTGTAGAAACAAAGTCTTGCTATGTTGCCCAGTCTGATCTCAAACTCCTGAACTCAAGCAATCCCCCCATGTCAACCTCCCAAAGAGGTGGGATTACAGGCATGAGCCACTGCGCCTGGCCTATCTTGGCTATTGTGATTCTTTTGCTCTCCACTATGATGCCAGCACCATAATCAAAATTTTCTATTTCATGAAAATTCTTATTGCAATTTTGAGTTGGAATTACATTTAATTCATAGATTAAACTAGAAGAACTAAATTCATAATATGGAGTCTTCATGTCTAGGAATGTGGTAAAGCTCCTCTGGTCTCATTTTAAGTCCATTAATAATGTTCTGTATTTTACCTTTTTCCCCTTCTTGTTTTACAGGTTGAAAGCTTAAATCATTTATTCTTTATTTTTCATAAATACATGTAGACTTATAAATTTCCTTCTTGATACCACTTTAATTGTATACCAAAAGTTCTGATATATACCACTTGATTTAATTCAGTTGCTTATATTTTATAACTCCTATTGTAATTTTTAAAATTTAATCCGTAGTCATTTAGGGGTGCCGTGTTTACATTTCCAAACATTTTTCACTTATCTTTTTAGTGCATATTTCTAATTTAATTGCATTTTAATCAGAGAACATTTGTATATTGATCCTTAGAAATTTTCCAATGCTTTTTTTGTTTTTTTTTTTTTTTTTTTTTTTGAGTTGGAGTCTCACTCTGTCAC